GGTGCAACCCACAACTTCATATCAGAACAGGAAGCCCGCCGATTGAAATTGACGATTGAGAAGGATACGGGTAAGATGAAGGCCGTCAACTCCGAAGCTCTACCCATTGTGGGAGTTTCGAAAAGAGTGATGTTGAAATTGGGGACGTGGACAGGCAGTGTCGATTTCGTAGTAGTTCGCATGGACGACTTCGACGTTGTACTGGAGATGGAGTTCCTCATCGAGCATAAAGTCATACCGATGCCTCTGGCCAAGTGTATGATTGTCACTAGTAATAGTCCCACTGTGGTCACAGCTAGCATCAAACAACCTGGTGGCATAAGGATGATATCTGTGTTACAGCTGAAGAAAGGCCTCAACCGGGAGGAACCTACCTTTATGGCCATTCCGATGGTCGAACAGTCGGTGGAGACAAGAGATGTCCCACCTGAAATTCAAGTTGTCATGAGAGATTATGTTGACATAATGCCAGATAGTTTACCGAAGACCTTACCCCCTCGACGTGGGATTGACCACGAAATCGAGCTCATTCCAGGAGCTAAACCTCCGGCAAAGAATGCTTACCGGATGGCTCCACCGGAGTTAGCCGAACTCCGGAAGCAGCTAGATGAGTTGTTAAATGCTGGGTTCATCCGTCCAGCTAAAGCTGCCTTCGGAGCCCCTGTGCTGTTTCAGAAAAAGAAGGATGGGACGTTGCGTCTATGCATTGACTATAGAGCCCTCAACAAAGTCACAGTTCGCAACAAGTATCCCCTCCCAATCATAACCGATCTGTTTGATCAATTACATGGAGCTAAATACTTCACGAAATTGGATCTCAGGTCGGGCTACTACCAAGTGCGTATTGCAGAAGGTGACGAACCTAAAACTACTTGTGTGACGAGGTATGGGGCTTTTGAATTCCTCGTGATGCCTTTTGGATTGACGAATGCCCCTGCCATGTTCTGTACTATGATGAATCAGATCTTTCACGAATATCTCGATCAATTTGTGGTAGTCTATCTAGACGATATAGTGGTATACAGTCCGACGCTAAAAGAACATCAGATCCATCTCAGGTTGGTCTTCGACAAACTAAGGCAGAATCAGTTATACGTAAAGAAGGAAAAGTGTGCGTTCGCACAAAAGCGGATCACGTTCCTTGGCCACGTGA